TTTGCGTCGTCATGAACGGTCTATTCATGGTGAAAGAAGGTTTTGTTGTGATCATTGTGGCGAGTCTTTCAGACGAAAAGATGCTTTGAGGCGGCATCAGAAGCGTCATCAAAAAATGATTACACACACGTGCAACAACTGCATGAAAGATTTCCACCGTCGAGATAAATTAGTAGAACATCAAGTTCATTGTCAAAGGAATCCACTGAAGAGAAAGCGTAATGAAGGCGATAATAGTCCGGCCCCAAAGAAAATGCGAGTTCAAATTGGAGAAGGTGAACCCGATAATCAAGTCGAAGAAGATAACCCTTGCAGTTCTACTTCGGCGTTTGAAGATTCTTTGAAGAAGATTGAGTTGAAACCACGGAAAGATCAGAAACAGGACGTGTCCCACTTCTTACGCGGCAAGACAAAATCCATTTTGAGTCACCTTTCCAACGAATTAGCAGAGAAAAGAGGCATCAAATGGTTCATCAGTGTTAAAGTACGATTCGTCAAACCTAAACCCAATGGCGAGAGTCTGACTACCGAATCCCACTTCCGCAGTCTCTGCATGAAAACAGTAGACCAGCACGAACTGCATAATCAACTAGAGGAGGCCAAGCAAAAAATTACCCAGTCACTAGTTTTATTTCAAAAAGAAGGAAGTGGTTGGGTATTAGACGAAATCCTTCATCTTGACCTGAGTATAGCTCAGTATACTCCAGTAAAAGGATCCAGCTACGTCCCTCTCCCAGCAAGATAAACGCCAAGAAAGCAGTAATCAACATCAAGAATTCTGATAACAAATGCTTCATGTGGTCTGTCCTCGCCGCTCTTCATCCAGTGAAACAGAGTGCAGAGAGATTGCATCATTATCAACAGTTTCAAGATGAACTAGATTTTGCTGGCATCGAGTTTCCTGTTACTGTTGACAAGATTGGAAAATTTGAGCGTCAGAACAATATTTCCATTAACGTGTTTGGCTTCGAAGACGTGCTTTTCCCCTTGTATATCACAAAAGAACACTTTAATACCCATGTGAATCTGTTGCTATACTCCCAGGGAGAAACTAGGCATTACTGTCTTATAAAAGATCTGAATAAATTCCTTTACAGTCAAAACCGTTACAAAGGTCGTATGTATTACTGTCGGTACTGTCTACATGGATTTATCCGAGAAGACCTACTTCAAGACCACGAGCCCCACTGCTCACAACACGGTCCTCAGCGTATTGAACTCCCGAGTGAAGATAACGCCCAACTGGTCTTTAAAGAATACCACAAGCAGTTGAAAGTGCCCTTTGTGATCTATGCTGATTTCGAAAGTCTTACAGCAAAGATTGACTCAACCCCACCAAATCCTGAAAAATCCTCCACTGAAAAATACCAACACCACCAACCATGTGGATTTTCCTACATTGTTGTATCCGACCATGAGAAGTACTCCAAACCGCCTGTTGTGTATCGTGGAGAAGGCGCCGTCGATAAATTCCTAGAGTGTCTAGAAGAAGAACAAAAATATATTCAAGAGAAACTTGATTGGGTCGAACCCATGCGCATTGAGAGAGAAGAAGAGCAGGCATTCCAAGATTCAGTCAATTGTCATATCTGTGGGTTTGAGCTGGGTGCTGATCGTGTTCGTGACCATTGTCATCTCACCGGAAAGTACCGCGGAGCTGCACACAACGATTGCAACTTAAACTATAGTTTTAATGGTCGAGTACCCGTTATTCTTCACAATCTACGCGGTTACGACTCTCATCTCATCATGCAAGGACTTGGTAAACTTAAAGACAAGAAGATCAACTGCATTCCAAACAACACCGAAAAGTACATCTCCTTCTCCATCAATAATCTGGATTTTATCGACTCTCTGCAATTCATGAATGCATCGCTGGAGAAGTTAGTATCCAATCTAGCAAAGGATGGTGTTGACAAGTTCCCCACTCTAAAGAAATACATCGACAGCGATAAAACACCCATTTTGCTGAGAAAAGGTGTCTACCCCTACGACTACATGGATTGTACAGAAAGATTTGAAGAACCAACCTTACCACCGAAGGAGTCATTTTACAACGTGTTGAATGATGAACACATTTCAGACGAAGATTACACCCACGCGATGAATGTATTTAATAATTTTACCTGTCGGAACATGGGTGATTACCATGATTTGTACTTGATGTCAGATGTTCTACTTCTCGCAGACGTGTTTGAAAATTTCCGAAGTGTGTGTCTCAAAGCTTACAACCTAGATCCTTGTCACTTCTACACAAGTCCTGGACTAGCCTGGCAAGCTTGTTTTGAAATGACCGATGTTGAACTCGAGCTTCTAACTGATCCAGACATGTACTTATTCATCGAAGAAGGTCTTCGCGGTGGAATTTCAATGATTAGCAACCGCTATGGTAAAGCCAACAATCCATACGTTCCCGATTATGACCCAGAACAAGAGACCTCCTACGTGATGTATCTTGATGCTAACAACCTCTATGGCTGGGCTATGTCACAACCTCTACCCACAGGTGAATTTGACTGGCTAACCGACCAAGAGATTGCAGAACTTGACATCACGGACGTTGCGGACGATGACGATGAAGGCTACATATTGGAAGTAGACCTACACTATCCGTCCGAATTACACGATCTTCACAACGATTATCCTCTAGCACCAGAGAAAATGAAGATTTCTTCAGAAATGTTGTCACCATACTGCCAGGATCTGTCGGAAAGTTTGCAACTTCGTGGTGGGGCTGTATCTAAATTGGTGCCGAATCTCCGGAACAAGACCAATTATGTAGTCCATTACCGCAATTTAAAGCAATACCTGGCACTTGGCATGAAGTTGACAAAGATCCACCGCGTTTTGGTATTCCAACAAAGCCCGACACCGCAGAAATTGGTGTTTAAGACGTTTCAACCCGAAAATCTAATCGCTGGTTCACAATTGTGCATTTCTGTATCGCCCTATCAAAGAGAAACCTTTTGAATATCTTAAAAAAGTTCAATTTTTCTTCTGAATACGCATTCTGCAATCTTTTGACAGCTCATCAAACACATCTGACCGCTGTGAAATGGCCATTTTGAGGCTTAAAGTATACACAAGGTTATTAATTCAGACGATTCGTTTTTACCGTGAGCAAGCTTCAAATCTTTTGTGCAAGACATATTTTCTTGAATATTTATAAATCTTTTTCCTCACCAAGTTTGAAGTCTAAGTATCGAGAATTGCGGCTAAGCCTATACCAATTTCCGCGGTGTCACAAAGCCCATGGTTAAAGACCTACATCGATTTCAACACCGAGAAACGAAAACATGCAGCAAACGACTTCGAGAAAGATTTCTACAAGTTGATGAATAACTCGGTGTTCGGAAAAACCATGGAAAATTTGAGAAAGCGCGTCAACGTCAAGCTCGTCAACGATAAGACGAAACTATCGAAACTAACAGCATCTCCATCCTTTGACTACTTCCGCATATTCTCTGAAGATTTAGCAGCTGTCAACATGAAGAAGACGAAGCTTTACCTAAACCGTCCAATCTACGTCGGATTCACCATCCTGGATCTCTCAAAGTACTCATGTATCAGTTTCATTACGAGTACATGAAACCCAAGTATGACTGCAACGCAAAGTTGTTGTTCACAGACACGGATAGCCTTTGTTACGAGATAAAGACCGACGACGTTTATCAAGACATGTTGCAAGACATCGATCTCTTTGACACATCCGAATACGCACGAGACCATCCACTGCACAGCCTGACGAACAAGAAAGTCCTTGGCAAAATGAAAGATGAAACGCATGGCATACCCATCCAAGAGTTTGTTGGGTTGCGACCGAAGATGTACTCCATTCTCTATACCGAAAACGACAAGCAAGTGGAGAAGAAAACGGCTAAAGGCATAAAGAAGTCCGTCACAAACGAAAGCTTCGGCACATCAACTACAAGGAATGTTTGTTTGATAAGAAACGGACAATGGCCAGCATGAATCAGATTCGAAGTGAACGCCATGAAATCTACTCCATTAAATTGAACAAGATTGGTCTTAGCCCTTATGACGACAAACGCTATATTATAAAGGATGGAGTGAACACTCTTGCTTATGGACATTACCAAATCATAAGCACAGACGAGTGAAATATCAAGTTTTATTGTTGTTGACAATACATAAGTTACGTTTTAAAGTTATAAATTATTGCAATTGCATGAAATACAAAGTTATGTTACAATGTTACGTGTTTATAAAGTTGAAGTTACATGTTTATTTATATTAAGAGGAGGTTTTTTCATGTTTGGAAAATGCTCAAACCTTATAAAATCATAATATTGTACGCATGCGTGGATGCATTAAGGTGTGTTTTGAAAGTTTGTTGTTGAATGTTGGGTTTACATAGAAACAAACTCTCCTCTTAAGTTACGTTTTAAAGTTATAAATTGTTCTGAAAGTTAATAAATTGTTCTCAAAGTTAATAAATATTTGAAAGGAATCCTTTGATTATTCTCAGTCTTCAGTTTGTGGTATATTGATCCAGATTCTACCACATCTATCTAGTCTAAAAATGCAGCCATTTTGCTGGGATATTGTTTGGATTGTCTTTTGTATGTTCAACACTGTCGTTTTTCCTCTTTAGAACTCTGGGCTTGCTGTTTTCCTTGCTTATCTTTCTGGTGCTTAATAATTCATTCACCACGTCTTGCTGTTGTTTGTTCTCATGTCTGTTCTCATCATCAAGAGTGTTCTCATTTGCTCTGTTGTATACCACACATTTCCCTTTCGGCTTTAGTTTGGCTTCTTGTAGGTATTTCCTTCTTTGGTCAATATCGAGCAGATGCACATCCGCAAGATGATTTGCCAATCTTACAAGGTATTTTGCACCGCAATTGGGAACGGTACAATCACGACAAACGCGCTTTGCCATGTCTACGGTTTGAAGAACAGGGTGCAAATGAGCTGTTTCCTCTGATTACTGACTTTTATTAGGGCCAATCGGGCCATAGTACAGGCCAATCGGGCCAAAGTCAGGCCAAAAAGGCCAAAAAGGCCAAAAAGGCCAAAATAGGAGATACAGCTCCTCCCAATCCCATAACCTAGTATGAACAGTTCTTTCTCGATTCTTTTACATATCTTTCCCACTGTCTTCATCACAGTTTTGGATCGTTTGATTGTCATAGAAGGCTTGGCTGTTTGCTTGCTTCCCAATATCTTGTTCAGTAAGTTGGTTTTATTTCGGCGTTTAAATTTATGCTGAGGCATAAAGGCTTGTCTGGCAGATTTACTATCTTGTTATGAGAATGTTTTTTTTTCTCGATTCTTTTACACTTAAACGTTACCCCTGCTTTTCGGATCATCACCAATTCAGTTCCTTTGTGTATCGTAGTACAGTTAGTCATTCGCTTGAGCTTGAGTTTCTTGATCTTGTGCAGTTTGGCTTTTTTCTGATCTTTAACATTTTTCTTCTTTTTAATGGTCCTTTTACGTAGATCATTTACCATAGTTGATTTTGAGCGTAAAACCTCTTTCTTTGAAGATGCTCTAGGAGATATCGTTTTGTGTGCACACTTGGCTGGCATATTGCAAACTAAGGATACAGTTTAAAATCATGTTATTTTATACATATGATTTTCGCGATCACAGCGCTTCTTACAAAAACCTAAAAGCAGTGGCGTAACGGACGTAAGGTAGGGTTAGGACAAGAACTAAGGGCCCCCGACCGTTGGGGGCCCCAGAGGGCCTTCATTGATTGCCGTCTATCGCCACGATTCTTAAAGAAAAACGGCGTGTCAGTGTATCGCATAAAAAAGTCAGGTTAAAAACAAATTGTTATGCCAAAGATAGGCCTGGGGTATGACGTTGATTGCAAAGGAAAATGCAGCAATTATGATGGTAGATTAAATAATAGAGTATCCATCGACCATGGCTGAATTTTCTATTATCTATGTTCTATTACTTCTATAACTAATGAAGTAATACACTAATGTAAATTTACAAGCTCCAGCTCTCAAATTATTTTTCAAGTGAAAACATGACAAACAGCTAGGGCCCCCACACCAAATATACCTAAGGGCCCCATCTTCGTCCGTTACGCCACTGCCTAAAAGTTTCTTCTTTTAGCATCCGTCTTCGATCTGTACAAAAATTACATCTCCCTTCAGCACGTGTATAGAGCAGCTCCGGACTGTTTCTACACATGCAGGGGTTAATGTCCGTTAGGGTTTCGATAAAAGCCTCCGACCTTTGTCTCTGAGATTTTTGACAACGCCTCATCGAAATACAATGCATAGTGTTCGTTTTCCATAGCGAGACATTGATGGTTTGGCTGAGATAAATTTTCCATTATGATGCAATGATGATATCTCAACTTGTGGTTGAAAATTGTGATGCACAATTTTCAACCACAAGTTGAGATATCATCATTGCATCATAATGGAAAATTTATCTCAGCCAAACCATCAATGTCTCGCTATGGAAAAAGACGAACACTTATGCATGTATTTCGATGAGGCGTTGTCAAAAATCTCAGAGACAAAGGTCACGGAGGCTTTTATCGAAACCCTAACGGACATTAACCCCTGCATGTGTAGACAGTCCGGAGCTGCTCAAATATACACGTGCTGAAGGGAGATGTAATTTTTGTACAGATCGAAGACGGATGCTAAAAGAAGAAACTTTTAGGTTTTTGTAAGAAGCGCTGTGATCGCGAAAATCATATGTATAAAACATGATTTTAAACTGTATCCTTGTTTGCAATATGCCAGCCAAGTGTGCACACAAAACGATATCTCCTAGAGCATCTTCAAAGAAAGAGGTTTTACGCTCAAAATCAACTATGGTAAATGATCTACGTAAAAGGACCATTAAAAAGAAGAAAAATGTTAAAGATCAGAAAAAGCCAAACTGCACAAGATCAAGAAACTCAAGCTCAAGCGAATGACTAACTGTACTACGATACACAAACGAACTGAATTGGTGATGATCCGAAAAGCAGGGGTAACGTTTAAGTGTAAAAGAATCGAGAAAAAAAAACATTCTCATAACAAGATAGTAAATCTGCCAGACAAGCCTTTATGCCTCAGCATAAATTTAAACGCCGAAATAAAACCAACTTACTGAACAAGATATTGGGAAGCAAGCAAACAGCCAAGCCTTCTATGACAATCAAACGATCCAAAACTGTGATGAAGACAGTGGGAAAGATATGTAAAAGAATCGAGAAAGAACTGTTCATACTAGGTTATGGGATTGGGAGGAGCTGTATCTCCTATTTTGGCCTTTTTGGCCTTTTTGGCCTGACTTTGGCCCGATTGGCCTGTACTATGGCCCGATTGGCCCTAATAAAAGTCAGTAATCAGAGGAAACAGCTCATTTGCACCCTGTTCTTCAAACCGTAGACATGGCAAAGCGCGTTTGTCGTGATTGTACCGTTCCCAATTGCGGTGCAAAATACCTTGTAAGATTGGCAAATCATCTTGCGGATGTGCATCTGCTCGATATTGACCAAAGAAGGAAATACCTACAAGAAGCCAAACTAAAGCCGAAAGGGAAATGTGTGGTATACAACAGAGCAAATGAGAACACTCTTGATGATGAGAACAGACATGAGAACAAACAACAGCAAGACGTGGTGAATGAATTACTAAGCACCAGAAAGATAAGCCAGGAAAACAGCAAGCCCAGAGTTCTAAAGAGGAAAAACGACAGTGTTGAACATACAAAAGACAATCCAAACAATATCCCAGCAAAATGGCTGCATTTTTAGACTAGATAGATGTGGTAGAATCTGGATCAATATACCGCAAACTGAAGACTGAGAATAATCAAAGGATTCCTTTCAAATATTTATTAACTTTGAGAACAATTTATTAACTTTCAGAACAATTTATAACTTTAAAACGTAACTTAAGAGGAGAGTTTGTTTCTATGTAAACCCAACATTCAACACCAAACTTTCAAAACACACCTTAATGCATCCACGCATGCGTACAATATTATGATTTTATAAGGTTTGAGCATTTTCCAAACATGAAAAAAACCTCCTCTTAATATAAATAAACATGTAACTTCAACTTTATAAACACGTAACATTGTAACATAACTTTGTATTTCATGCAATTGCAATAATTTATAACTTTAAAACGTAACTTATGTATTGCTCAACAACAATAAAACCGTTGATATTTCACTCGTCTGTGCTTATGATTTGGTAATGTCCATAAGCAAGAGTGTTCACTCCATCCTTTATAATATAGCGTTTGTCGTCATAAGGGCTAAGACCAATCTTGTTCAATTTAATGGAGTAGATTTCATGGCGTTCACTTCGAATCTGATTCATGCTGGCCATTGTCCGTTTCTTATCAAACAAACATTCCTTGTAGTTGATGTGCCGAAGCTTTCGTTTTGTGACGGACTTCTTTATGCCTTTAGCCGTTTTCTTCTCCACTTGCTTGTCGTTTTCGGTATAGAGAATGGAGTACATCTTCGGTCGCAACCCAACAAACTCTTGGATGGGTATGCCATGCGTTTCATCTTTCATTTTGCCAAGGACTTTCTTGTTCGTCAGGCTGTGCAGTGGATGGTCTCGTGCGTATTCGGATGTGTCAAAGAGATCGATGTCTTGCAACATGTCTTGATAAACGTCGTCGGTCTTTATCTCGTAACAAAGGCTATCCGTGTCTGTGAACAACAACTTTGCGTTGCAGTCATACTTGGGTTTCATGTACTCGTAATGAAACTGATACATGAGTACTTTGGAGAGATCCAGGATGGTGAATCCGACGTAGATTGGACGGTTTAGGTAAAGCTTCGTCTTCTTCATGTTGACAGCTGCTAAATCTTCAGAGAATATGCGGAAGTAGTCAAAGGATGGAGATGCTGTTAGTTTCGATAGTTTCGTCTTATCGTTGACGAGCTTGACGTTGACGCGCTTTCTCAAATTTTCCATGGTTTTTCCGAACACCGAGTTATTCATCAACTTGTAGAAATCTTTCTCG